GGGTTCAGGCAATTCTCCTGCCCCAGCCTCCCGAGAAGCTGGGATTACAGGTGTGCACCACCACGCCCAGCTAATTTTTGTAGTTTTAGAAGAGATGGAGTTTCACCATGTTGGCCAGGCTAGTCTCAAACTCCTTAAGTGATGTGCCCGCCTCAGCCTCCCAAAGTGCTGGGATTACAGGTGTGAGCCACTGTACCTGGCTGGGATTTTTTTTTTTTTTAAGTATAAACATGCTATTTTGGCAATATAAATAATTAAAAATTAAAAATAATTCTATGCTGGATTTTACTTCAAGCTGTAGGATTGGACTTGCCTAAATATCCTAGAGGAAATGCAATGACTACAGTAATTACTGTTACGTCCTGCTCCTGCCCATAAAAGATTGAGAGTAGCTTGTGGCTCCTTGTCGCCCTGTCTCTCTATTATGAGCCTTTCATGTAACAGAAAGGAACAGAAAAAGGCCAGGGCTGCGGGAACCCATGGAGATCCTAAGCTGCTAATGCAATTATATGTGCTTGGAGCCGTTAGCAAGCACCAGCGCTGAAACAGGGCAGGCAGCTGGGGGTTGCGTCTGCACCCCAAGTTCCAGAGGGGCCAGACGAGGCTGTTCCCTGGCACCCTGCTTTTTCATCTTACAGCCTGGACCTGGAGGCAGATAGGGCCTTCCCTTCCCTGTAGACTGAGCCATGTAAGAGACCAGCAGAGGCTTCGGAACCGCAGCACACAGCTGCCCAGAGTCGCCTCAGCGGCGCGCAGACGGGCTGCTGTGTTTCCCACGAGGGCCATTCTGATTTTCCTCTATGAGTAAGTCCAAGTTGTGTCAGCAGCTGGGAAAAGTCAACATGCTTTTGGAGATGAAATAAACAAAAAGGCTCACTACTCCCTACATTCACCCCCAAATCCTTTGAGCAGAAGCAGATGGTCCGCTGGTCTACGTGAGGATTGCGACACCTTTCCTCTCTCCTATCAGAAGAAAACCTGGGAGAGCTGATAGAGCAAAAAATGCCCGTGGGGCAGGTGTGGAGGTGTGGGGCAGGTGTGGGGTGTGGGGCAGG